ATTTTTAAATATATATATATATATATATATATATATATATATATATGTATATATATAAGAGATTTACTATTATTCTTCTAATAATAGTAAATCTCTTCTTCTCAAGAAGAAAAATGAAAGATTCACTGTTTGATGTTAAGAGTCCATTTCTGCTAATGTAGTTTAAATTGTAATCTCGATTTAATTAACTCTTCATCTTTTTCCAGTTCTAAGAATCAGAAAAAGATGAAGAACAACTAAGATTGAAGTTAATCTACATTGGTAGAAACATAAGAAGAACAGTTTCCCTCGGATGTGTTTGAGATGATTACACCGATTACACGACTACTTACGGGGCAGTAAGAAGCCGCGGATTTCGGAGTAACCCGCGGTAAACGGGTCGTAGACCCATCTGCAGCCGACGAAGAATCGTCTGGGCGCGTCGGACTCCTGGGGGTTGGGCAGCGACCTGAAGCAGTGTCGCCACAGGCCGAGTCGGTCGAGTTGCGCCCCGACGATCCGTGGGTCGCTGACCAACCAGGAGGGCGTGCCGAAGGCGACGCACACGCAGACGAATCCTACCAGGAACACGCCGACGCCGACGTTGCCGGACAAACTCCTCTTCTTCATGTCGCCGCTCCGCGTGCTACCGAGACGATCGTGAAAGAGAGACGAGACGTCCGACCGCCTGGACGCGCAGCGTAAACTATACTCTCATGAAACACAATTCTACCTGACGGTCCCACGGCACTAATAACCACACCCAAGCGACCCGCGTTATTGGCGGAGCGAACGGCCGCGTTCTAACTAACCTAACCTAACCCGCGTTTCACCTCGACTCGACAAATTGCGACAAACAGCCCCACGCGCAAGTAGGTATCCCACGATTCTCACGAGCGGGGCGTTAAACGTAACGAATCTATGCAGGACCGTCCACAGCGAGGGCTTGGATTCTCACAATGATATCCTGGGAGCAAAAAAGAATGCTTTCCTTTATCCCCGAAAAAGGGAGATAATCTGCTGAACCTTTGGCCGAAACCGAACAATAGTATTTTGACCTGCTCTGACTTGCCTTACGTCTATATTTTCACCAATGTAAATTAACTTTAATCTTGGTTCAACTTATTCTTTATCTTTTTCTAATTTTAAGAAAAAGATAAAGTAAATTAAAATCGAGATTGAAGTTAATCTTAATTACACTGGTAAAACTAGACTCTCTTAATAAGTCAAGAGTTTTATATGAAAAAAAGAGTTCTGAAAATAAAAGAAAAAACAGCTGTTCTCAATAAATATTACGATATTGATATGAAACTAATAAAGAAATTAATAATAAATTGACATTTTTTTAAAATGTCTGTAGTATAAATTGAAAAAAAGGAGTTAAGAATTTGCGTTTTCTTGTAAAGAAAAGTTTTTTGAGGTTTTTGGAAATTCGTGGTGATCCTGCCGCTTCTCTCGTCGTCCCTGCATCCGTCAAGGTGCATAATGTGTCAGCGTGTGTCGCACGTCTTATTTATGCATATCGTTTCTCTCCTCATGATCGCATTCCGACCTTGATCCTGTAGGACGTAAGCGAACCGCGAATAGTGCGTTTCTAAGCCTAAAACTTGCTTCAGGCGATCGATAAATCGTCGCGGAGAATTCAGAATGTTCTATTTATACAAATAGGAAATAAAGATCCTAAAATGGATCAGTCAAGCTGGATCGTTTAAATAATTCAATGTGAATTTATATATTCATAAATCATATCTAATCTTGTAAACTGCGCGTCGAGTTTATAATTTTCAATCTTGAAACGCAATCCTACTTAATATAGAGTAATAATATCACAAATTAATTGGCAAGCAATTTAATAATATTGATGTCCATATCTTAGAAGGATCTTAATTATTATCTGATGCTGAGTAAGCGTTTTAATTAAAATCTGTAATTTTATTACAGAAAGTATACACCTCATCTAGGATTTATATAATTTTCTATTTATAATTTTATGTGTGCAATTGAAAAATGAGAAGACACGTATTTTTTAAATGCATTCGCACCATAAATTTCTGTATTTTTCTTTCTATTTCTTTTTTTTATTATAAAAATTTTTGATTCACATGTTAAATAACGCACGGCATAAAAAATTAAAACGCAACGATTTCCGTCTTGAAATATCTGACGAGAATTAGAAATCGTCTAAAATGGCCATAAACAATTTCTCGGCGAGGAAGAACGCTTTCTTTTCTTTTACGTGACTTCCGCTTCTCTTACAAATCCATTTCACTATTGTCATTCATATTTTCTCCCAAAAAAGACGTATATTCGTAGAAATTAACGTATGTACATCCTGTAACTGAATCACGAAAATGATGTCGTAGTTGCGCGACGCGAGTCATCGCTGAATGGAATTCCTCTGCAATACGCAAATGTGTCACCTCGAGGAGATCTCGACGAGCGATCCACAAGATGACGCATTATACCGGCCGCAACTGACATAACTGCGGAAGATTCAGCGCGGTCGATTAGAATAGAATCTAAATTAGGTCAAACGGCGAACGCTTTCCCCCGAGTTATCGCGTGCACGCGAAAGACCCGCGTCTTATAATTTACAATGACTTTGCGAGAACAAAGTAGGTCACTGTGTGCAGAAGTACATTTAATTGATTTAATTTGTATTCCAAAATTTGACATGCAAAATCTGAATATTTGTATAAGAAAAACAAGACAAAATAATGTCATACTGACTGAATCATGACAAAAAAATGACATGAATTTGATTAATATAACATCAAATTGATTTATCTTGATTTTTTTATACTTCTTGGACGAGAGTAAAAACGTGGTAGCTATTTATTAGGAAAAATTATTTTATTATATCTGTATACGGCATACAAGTGGGAGATTTATCTCTCTCAATATCAATATTTATCTATATAGAACTTATGTACAAATATATATAATTAATCCCTACAAAATTTTTTAAAAAACAATACAGATAAATGGACGGATTAGTTCAGATATGTGCGTTACACATTTAATAATATTTACGACATCTAGTCGTGCATCATTTATAGAAAATGTTTCATATAATTTAAATTTTTGTCAATGCAAGTCAATGACTTCTAGTCCTTATATATTTAAAATATATATGTATCTTAGATAATATGTATATCGACAGATTCTATAACGTTACAATGAGTAGCTGCGTAACAATTAATATAAAATTATTAGTCTTCAAAGAGATTTATCCGTGATACATGTTCAGTGGATAAAATTTGCGCTTACGCGATGTATCATTTAATACATCACGAATATTTGTTCGATTACGATGTAAAAATATGCTAAATGGTCGTATGCGTTTTTTGTTCTTCGTTCAATATTCGCTCCTGCTTCTTCCTGTGTCTACGTCCTTCGATCAAGTATAAGACACCAGCGGCTATCAGGACAAAACTGCCGACGACGGCTAAGGCGAAAGACCAACTGATATCATTGTGCTCCCAATTGGGCATCCAATCTCGACCGTCACCTCTGGCGCCGAATATAATCACCGATATAACACCACATATTCCTGCCAAAGTTAAATTGCCACCGGTTGCCCACAGAAGCAGCTGATACTTGTCATGCTGACGCGAGCAACAAGTATATAAAATAGTCAGAAAACTTCCTATCAGCAACAAGGTGAAGCACAGTGTGAAGAAGAACTGCGTGGCGACGAAGAAATCGGGTAGAAGTATGTCGTGTATGATGTAATACTCTTCTTCAAACACCCACCAACATCCATAGAATCTGGTATCATAGAGATGACGCGGATCCTGGAATCCTTGGAAACACACCTGCCAGAGACCTGCAAACAGCATTGTTTCTCACTTTTGTCGTTGCCAGCTAAATGTCTCATACTTATATAATCACATTATTAGAAAATAAATTATTAATTGGACATAGTAGAAAGGTATATATGTTTCAAAGTAGTTTTTCAAATACAATTACCATTCCATGAGAAACAAAAAAAAATTCTGCGATAGGAGAAACAGAATAAATAAAATAATAATTTTCTGACGATCAATCCTATTATGTATATAACACAGTGTACTGGTGGATATTAAAGTTTTTGTATTTGATTTAATTTAAATGTAAAAGTGAAATTCAAGTATTTTGAATTATAAAATACATATTTCATTCAACAACACAATAAAATGTATCGAGAATTTCTTTAATCTGTTTCTATATTGAACACACAGCTTAACATCAATTTGTATACAACGGCTTTAGTTAATATGCATCTTATAACAGAGTTTGATCATAGACAATTTTGTCAAAATCCTATGAGAAAAAGATATATATAATTCTCCCTGTATATATACTATCTCATTCTAATTTCTATTGTTTCACTCGTTAACTTTAATTAAGATCATAGAGTGAGATAGTATAAGTTTTCAGGAAATACACTTAAGTCAAGAGAAAATCAAAATGACTTTATTTTGACGAAAGTCAAAATGAAAGTTAAAATAATGATTTTTGGTTACAAAATTTGACTGTCTATTGACGTTAAGAATTAAAATAGTCATTTTGTTCTTTTGTTGATTTTTGTGTGTCTTTGAGTTAGAGTGATATATCTAATATTCATTTCTATCAATTAGTACCGAATTCGGTCACTTGCGTTATACGGGAAGAAATTATATGTATCTTTCTTTCTTCTAGGATTTTGACAAAATCGCTCGTAGCCAGACTCTAATATAGGATCTCTAATATGCATCAGTGCGCACTGAGTACATTCAATCGAATTTGTTAATAATAATTTCCATCAATGTAAATCAACTTTAATCTCGGTTCAACTTACTCTTCATTTTTTCTAGTTCTAAAAATTAGAAAAAGATGAAGAAAACGATGAAGAGTAAGTTGAATCGAGATTAAAGTTAATCTACATTAGTGGAAACAAGCATAAGAGATACCAAAATTGACAATTCCTTTGTATCTATGTCCAATATTTGAATATAAATTTCAAATATAAGTTATTTATAGATGTAAGTATAGATGTATACGCATCCAGTCACGTATAATCTTACCAATCTTGACGAATTGTGGATTCTCCAATTTCCCGTCGGTCTCCAACCAGTTGGGTGTGGTGAACGCGATCACCACCAGAACGAACGCCACCGCCGTGCATGCGACGGCGGCCTTGCCCGTCCTCGTCTTCCCCATCACTCGCAAGCGTCACTCGAATGTATACGTAACGAAGGACGGTGGAAAAGGAAGCGTAAACTCCTCGTGTTCGCCGTATATTTTAGTATCCCACCTGGAACGCACAAGTATGCGACTTCCTCAGTCCTCTTGGAGGAAGCTTATCTCAGCGCGCGAACGCTAGAGCGCGTTGTTTGCGCCGGTTGCGCGTTCCGCAATGTGTATCCCTTCCCCTGGAATTTCGACGACCTTTCTCTCCCCTGCTTTACGGAGGAACTTTTTGTGCCCATTAAAGAAAATTAAGTCATAAAATCTTTTTATCCTTTTAACTTTTCTCTTTTTGTCTGTCTTCTTTTTATCACAGAGCGCACGCTTCTGTAAATTAAAACTTCTTGAGAGTTATACAACAAAATAATAGACCTTGAATAATTTTAATAACTGTATATGGAACGAATAAAGATTTTAATAATTTTTCTCAACAGTCTGGTACGAGCCTACGGATGTTAAAACGGCGGCGAAGATATTCCAAGTTGGACCACAATGGAAAAACGTACTGCACTTTGTCTCGCCTAACCAGAACGAACTAAAAGTAATAGGCGAACACTTCAACATCCCCGTTTCCGAGAGTATGGACCTGGTGGCTACAAAAAGCGTGGCTGAACA